GAGGTTATCATGTTATTTATTAATATAAAAATATTATAAAAAATATTATTATTCGTACAGCTATATTTTTGCAAAATATAAAAGTATCATTTCAATAAATATTGTATATGTTTTAAATGGAAGTTCACAATCCAAAATGTAGAGTATGAAAAAATTAATGTTTTATATATTTGCTCAAAGTAAAAGATAGGTGACATCTCAATATGGAAATTAAAAATAGTATGTACCTAAACTACGGTACGGAAGTATATTATTTCGTATTTTAAAAATTATATATCATAAATAGATGGAAACAAAATATTAATTATGGTATAATATATTAGAGTTAGACTCTCTAAGAAGAGAAATCCAGATCCTTTTAAAAATGGACAAGCAAATAAATATGTGTGGAAGAGGTCCGACCACATAAATTCAGAAACTAAAGGAAGAATTAAATCATAAAAATCAGAGGAGATATCGATTATAGGCACTTGGGATGTGAGTATGAAATCCTAGACATCTAATAATTTCTTATGTTAGACATCATTGTTCTGTGATATAGGACTCGTTAGTAGTCACTAGTCATACACCTGGCCATGTGAGAGACCCCAATTATGATATGAATCTCTAATCTCTATTGTCTCCACATGTCAGAAGGGAGAAGAAGGTTTTGCAACGTACATCTTGATTGTTTCTGTGCACCATTCCAATTACTGTCATATGTCTACCTTCCTCTACTTATTATCCAAAATTATGAACATTTTAACTGTTATCATAAGATAAGCTAAAATGAATTCATTAATTTCAAGATTGTACTTAAATATATTTGTGCAGAAGTAGATATTTGACTGTTTGAGTAACCAATATATGCATCAAGTTGCTACCCTCGATGCATTATGTGTAGAATATTTTTTATTCATGCTTAGGGAATTACATATATTAATTAATTATAAATTAGAAAGTTAAGCAAGGCAAAGATTTTTAAGTCAGATTTTCAAAAATACAACAATTGCTCTTATTCTGCACCTTCCTGTATAGCAAGCAACAAAGGAATTGCTTGAGGATTTTTACTGACAAAAAATCATGTGATTGAAACTATTTATAATGCAAAATAATTTAAAATAAAGTGTTGGATAACTGTATATTTAAGTATTTATTTAATAAATTATTGTTAAAACAATAATTTATATTAATAATAACAATAAAACTTTATCCCACTATAAAAAACATAAATTTATACAATAAATTTAAAATTACTTTTTTGAAAATAAGTGGAAATTTTGATATTTTAATGAGTTACCTCAAAATTTTAAAAAATTATTGAAATAAACTAAAAATAACTTATGAAAGTTATAAATTATTTTTTATAAATTGTTTATAAGTATTTGAAAAAAGGCTTACCAGAAAAACAAGTACAGTTAACTGGGAGCAAAACATTACCAAGAAGGGAAACATAAGCATTCAGCACATACTAAATACTAGAAATAAGTCTCTGAAGTACAAGATCAATTTTTTCGTTACCACTACTTGCCATGCTTCTGTGGACCTGCAAAATGCTAAGTACAAGGATAGAAAAATACCATAATGGATACCAAAATTACAATAGATGTAGCCTTTAGGATTTCTATGCTTGCTAAAAATGTAGAGACATATATAGCAGAGAACATTGACATGGAATGTAAACATTCTCTACAGTTTACAGATGAAGTGCTGCATAAGAAGATGACACAACAACTTTCTACAAGTTCTCAACATTGGCTAACTGATATCACATTCAACTTCAGATACTTCCACTAGTGACTAATAAGAAAATAAGATATAAACATAATATGATCATTATCCCTGAAATTAAAAGCTTAAAGATCACTACAGGATCATAAACTGCAACAAGAATCTTGGATCTAGGAAATGGCTTCTTTTAGTTTCAAGATATTGTCTAGAGAAAAAAGCATAGACTATAACTTCACGTCAACATTTATTCTCTCTACTTTGTAAGGATGCTAATAGAGTCCAGCTGGCTTGTCCACGTGGTGTGTGGAACATTTAAAACCGTTAAATACAGTCAATCATGTGACATAGAGAAAAGGGTTATTCTCTTAGATGTTGACAATGATAAAGAAGTGCAAGATTTTTATCATCAACCTTTTGGTGTGATTTCATGCTCTTGCTGCTTTCATTGAGAGAACGAATATAAACTTCATTTTCTTATATGTCCATAATGTGTATATTAATTAGTATAGAATATTGTTATCAAAGTGAACAATAATAGCATTCTTGAAAAAAAAAAGTGAATGAAACCTAAAGTAATGTTGAGATTCTTAACAAGCAAAAGTAACCTTTCAAGTAGGAAAATAGACTCTACACCTTAATGTGTGAGTGTACTTGTGAAGTGTGTTATGCATTCTCTATGGCCTAACTACACTCACTCGTGCAAACAGGTTTCCAAATTGTTCCTGCTTTGGTTTTTTCGAATTTATTTTCTTTCGTGACATGATGTTTTTTGTTTATTATATTCTTCCCCTACCTTTATTTTTTCTTTGCAGTACCTCGTAAGTATACTTTCTTTTCTTCGAAAATGAAGGAAACTTGCAATAAACAAATAAGTATTCTTAATCACCATTTTCATTTTTCAACATAAGGTTGTTACTCTATCCACTTCATAATGAACTCATTTTAGAGAAAACTTTCCGATTAACCAATCCAGAAAACTCCCAGTACCCCGCGTGCTAAAATGAGCTTCTAAACCCAATAATAATATTGGGTCAAGAACCAGATATATTTCATGAACCATGGTTCTTGAATTAAAATAATAATAATAATTTTGTACCGAAGTTCGCAATTTGGTTTGATTACAAACCATGATTCTCCTTCGTGTTATATATCGTACTAATACATACATTTGCAAGTGAAAAAATAATGTTATTAATTATAGTATATAAAAATATGTGCATATAACACTTTGTTTAGTTTATATGTTCCAAATCTCAACGTCCAAATTGTAATTAAGCCTAAAAAACAAAACAAAAAACTAAACACTATATAACAAAAATGAAATCCAAACTTCATTTTGATTTACTTAATTTATTTTGTTTGACTGGATTTTCCGGGCAACCTTTTAAAAAATAAATGAGTACCAATCAGAACATGTGCATTTGTGAATATATTTATTAATCTGGTGTTATGTTACCTAACATGACATGACTTCTATTAAATTGATTTGTATTTAAATTTTGTTCAGAGTACAAGATAAAATAGAAAAGAAATTAGAATTGAATAAAAATAAGATAAAATAAAAGTAGAATCGAGTGCTATCGTATTTTATATTTGATATATACTAAAATAATAAATTAAATATATAGTGTTATTATATTTTATTTTTTTAAAACAAATTTTTTATTAGATAAAATTTTTTAAAAATAAGATATATTAATATTATAGGATAAAATGCACTGAAAATATGATAAAATATAAAACAGGTACCCTACCTTACATTTTTATTCTAAAAATAAAATAAAAGACGTCACACAATCAGGATTTTTTGTTTTTTTTAGAATAATTAAATTAAAATATATTTACAAAATTTATAATAATTGAAGAATGTCCTAAAATAAAAAATTTAAATTTATTTTGATATATTTTTTAAAACAAACGCAACTTTAATATTGAAGTAGACATAAAAACGACAGCAGGCATCCAAATTCCTTTATTGGAAACGGCACCAAAAGGTAACTTACCTGGCGTTGATCAAAACGACAGCAGTCAGACATGCGAACTCGGGTAATCAGATTAAGGTACCGTTTTTACTGTTCTGATTTCATGTTTGCACTCTTTTTGTTGTCTTCCATGACAATTTACTGTAAAGGGTATGTTTGGTTTGGGGACAAAATATTTCTGTTTGTGCTAAACAAGAAAGTCATAATAAACATTGTGTAACTTCGAAAACAGTAGTGCATTTTCAACTTCTATGAATATATGATGTCCAGTATTATATTGCAAAATTTCAATTGCCAATTACATATATAAATATTTTTATCAAAAGCCACTAGGTTCTTACGCATGAGATTTTATTTGTTGGATGGTTTATGCTCTCCAAGTGCCAAAGGATGTTGCCGTTTGATAAAGGTTAAATTTTGATTAATCTCCTTTCATAAATTAAAATTAGTTCTTATATATTTTTTAATTTTTCTCGTTTTAACCTTCTTAAAACTTAAACATATAAACTAATTTTAACTTGTGAAATAAATTTTATTTATTTATTTTATTCTCTTACAAATATTTATCTAAAGTGTATACAAATTAAACCATAATATTTTCACACTTCATATGCCTTTTATTTGCAAGGTTTCAACTCCAAGTTACAATAGCATTGACAAGCTCAAGTGATCACCATTGAAGAACATTTTGGCCCCAATTTGGTCATCAACTTTTATAGCATTACAATGTTTATAACAATGTGCGAAATTCATAGGCAATGTAAACCCTGCTTCTGGTAGCAGTTTTCCATCAATTCAAATGTTATTTCATAGATTCTGTGTCCACACCATTATAATTGTGAAGTGGGGCATGTCTTGGCCTGGCAGCTGGGATAGGTGTAAGTGTGATCCTGATTTTTTGTTTCAATTGTCATTTGAAAACAAAACATACAGCTTAATAAATTACAAGGATGTAAAAATCTATAGCTCTTGATCTTTCTTCAATAATTTGTCATTTTAATTCAACTGAAACTATCTCTGTCAACTAGCAAGAAGTGAATGTCTGATTTTTCTCATTTGTGATAGATATTTTCCCCCTCAAATATATGAATAATTTTGTTTTGTACGGAAATTAATGCAATTGATGGTATTGTATAGTCAGACATGAAACACATCTTTGATATAAGATTTTTTTTAGCTCTACCATTACCTTAGATAAAAGGTGCTTCATGATTTCCTAAAGTCAATTTTATTTATTGATTTGTTTTCATTGTGGATGAACATTCGTAACTTTCCTGGCTCGTATGCAGTGTGGAATTTTCATGTTTCCTCGCAAAGCATCAACTCCATTAAAGAAGCAATTTATTAAGAACTAATTACAAAAGCTGGGTTATGGACTGCAAACAGTGATTTATTACCAATGATGGTTTGTGTACTTTTATTCAATGGGCAAGTGTAGGTATAGCTCTGGTTGGTTACATGTATGGTAGCTGTGCAACATTCTTGATCTCTCATGCTTAGAAAACTGAAGATTTCAAGTTTACTTGGCATTCTTAATTCTCTAGGATTCTTCTCCTTTTGGTTATGCAATTTTTGTTTCAACTGAACTCAATGCAGTAGCAGATTCTGAAGAAGAACAAGTACACTTCATTTCTACATGACTGATTGGTGTACACAAAAAATGTTCCCTTTCCCAGGCCCTTTGATTTTACCCTGCCAATTGAGAATGGCTGTGACATGATTCATATGCATACATTTTCCTCCACAAAATTTAGGGTGTTCTGTTTCATTCAGGACCAGAAATCCCACCATTGGTAATCACTGCTTGATTGGCCTAATAGATCATCTGATTCAAAAGTACCCCAATCTTCTGGTGATGTCAAGGAACCATCACCATGTTCAGCAAAATTCAGAAGGCCAGGTTCATCTTCCAAGCCAAAGTATTCTACCTTTATGCTTGTGTCATCATCTGAAAGAACACCATGTGCATGTTCTGATCTTTCCATTGACGGGCTTGGCTTCACCTCAGCTTCACATTTCATGGTGCCTCCATTTTCTGATTCACTGTCCATGCTGTTTGCTCCTTTTACTTGTGCACATCTTTGACTTTGCTCCAATGGCTTTTGTATTAGATCATTCAGCTTCTGCAACTGTTGAATACCCAAATCAAAAAATTATATTACAATATTAAATTGATATAATTGTATTTATCATACTTATTCGTAAAAAATGAAATTTGTATTGTATTTGTAATAAGTACCTGAATTAGTAATGTTTGCTTTTCCTTTTTTAGAGCTTCAAAACGTGAAGCCAGATTGTTATAGTTGGCTTGGAGTATGCTGTATTCTCTCTCAAGTTGCTTTGACTTCCACCTAGCTCTCTTGTTTTGAAACCATATAGCAACTTGTCTTGGTTGCAATCCAAGATCTCTTGCCAGCTGCAACTTCTTTCTAGGTTCAAGCCTTGACTCTGTCTCAAACATGGACTCCAATGATTTGATTTGTTCATCACTGAATCTTCTTGTGTTGTTATTGTTTTTCTTCTTTCTCATAGCAGTCGATGGAGTGCTGCTGCTACTTGTGTAAGTTTCTGCTTCTGCTGAATAAGTATATTCCATGCTGTCTAACATGTGGTGGTTGTGGGTATTCACACTTTCACTAAGACCTTTCAGTTTAGAATAGGTGGATTTGGAAGTGTGTGCCTTGTGATATGCATGTATCTATTTGCCTCTGCTTATTGGAGTTCCTATCATGGTGGTCAGAGTGAAGTCCCCAATTGCTGGCTTTATATCCAAAACTCATTGGTCCTGTTGACACCTTAACATACAATGCCCTTCCACCTGTACATGCTGAATATTACTTATTTTCCTATCTTAGTGATGTTTATGTAAATTTTTTTTTCTTTAGCTTTTGAGATAAACTTGTGTACTGCTTTTGGAATTGAGCCAGCTTTGTTGGCTTGGCTTGGCTTGTGTGGCTTGCTTAGTGGTTTTGATTATAATATAATTATAATAATAATAATACTAATATCTTATTGTGTGATCATATTAGCAGCCTAGTCTTCACTATTTATCTTATTTATTCACAATTTTAATGATTAATGTGAGTTAGAATTAGCATTTAATATTCTTTTGGTCTTTATTGCTGTCATCATTCTTTTAACTTCAAGGTTTTGTCCTAAGAAGTTGTGTCGGTTACATGAATCACGTTCTTCATTAAATTTTAATTTATGGTAGTTTAAATAATTGGTGGAGCCTATTGATTAATTTAGTATTGTTGTTGATACCATTTTTCTTCATTGTATATCAGACTACAGCATTACTTTAAGAAATCTTCTGCGTTTAGACGTTTGGTCAAGTTTTATTTATTACTTTATATACTGAAGCCTCTGCAGTTAGCATGATTCATGTGTGTAATTTTTTGTTCACTTAATTAAAAAGCACTTCGACAAAAGGCAATAATATGCAAATAAAATAATTTAAGGTAATCATGTTTGCGGTTCTGATTTAGTGTGTAAGTAAATAAATATTTTGAGTTATGCATTGATAGCTCTAGTTAATGTTGGGTAATCTAGTCAGAATGTAAGTAAATTAATTATTAAACAGGATAAAGCTTATTTACTTTTATATTGTCTTTAGAATATTTAAGTAAATGTGTGTTAATTTTTAGTCTATTGCAACCAACTTTTTTTTTTTTAATTTTGAGGCCATTTATATTTAGAAATCACTTTTTTAAAATTTAATAATCCAACTTTGTTGAACTTATTTAAGGACGGAAGAACTCTCTCAATTTAGTTTTTTTTATTTACAAAATTCAAATATAAAGCCTTTCTTAAAGATAAACAAAGTCATTACTATTCATACTAATAAGTGTTAGTCTTGTAGGGATTTTCTGTTATAAGTTATGAAATCTAAAATACCTATAAACATGTTTTTAATTTTCATATAATAAAAAAATTTAACGAAATAAGTCATTTATATTCTCTTAAATTTTATAGACATCGATCATCTAATATATAATATCCAACACAAATAGTCGGCTACCTGATAAATTATCAAAAAGAAAAATAGTGGTGCACTATTAGTAACTATTTTGCTAGCTTTGCTCATACTTTAATGCTATACTATAATTAAGATTTAATTGCACTCCTTTCTCAATAAAATCTTAAATTAATTTTTTTGTTTTAAAGATTATACTCCTCTCCCATGATAAATTAGGATGTAATAAAGTAAGAGTTTTAAATTCAAATGTTCTCTTTTAATTACTCTTCGAATTATCAACAATTCAATTTAAATCACAACAAATTAACTTTAAAATCTTAGAAGATGAAACAAAAAATTTATATAATTTTGTGAAAATCATATATAATATCTGTTTGGGAGATTTTATTATTTTAAAAAAAATTCTTTCATGAAACTATAAAAAACATTATTTTTTTTTAAAAAAGAAGTTAAACTTAATATATACTTATTCATAACTATTCAATATATAGAGGAGAGTGGAGAAAAGAAAGAGAGGGAAAGGCTTGAAAATCATAAGCCGCTGGTTAAAGATGATCTTTCAATGGGCTACGAATGACAGTGACTATGAGTACGATAGGGTTAGGTTGAGTCATTATCACCCACAGTCACAACACAACGTGCCCATCCTTCATTCTTCACTTGGAATATTTCCTTTTGACAAAAATTTAAATTCCCATTCATTTCATTATCACTATTCAAAGTTCTTAATTTTTTTTAAAAAATAAAACATTTCATGTCCAATCAAATCAGTTCCCAGGAGACACGAATCTGTCACTCTGTCACGCATCAACCAATGAGTTCTATACACATACACTCCATTCAAACATAGTATCCCCATTACGTCGTCTTTTTCTTTGGAGTTTTGGGATTTTTCTTGCTACGTGGCACCACCACCATGGACGTACGTTGAAAGCAAGATCAACATTTCTTCGACACGTGGCGCTATCTCATCCAATACGTAGCTTATTGAGACTCTGATTCGTGGGGACAACGTTCTTGCCGTACACGTGTTTGATATCCTTTTGGCTTCTCTGCTTTTGGGACACGTAATTTGTTGCCTTTAGTATAATGGGCAATAATTATTATTTGATTAGACTAAAGGTGTAAAAGTTAAAAAACAAAAATGTGAATTTTGTATTCAACTGTGTATTTTTACGTAAAATTTATTATAAAAAATTATTATGTGGGGTATATATATATATATATATATATATTATGTCTAATTGTGCTGATATATCCTAATTCCCATTTTGTTGTCGTTTATTTGGCATGATGACAAGTGATGGAATTGCTTTTTGGTAGTCTGGTTCTATGCAATTAACATGTTAACTAAAAATTAACACTTCACCTACCTGGTCATGAGGTATAGATGACTATTATATTGGATGGATATATTAAGTCGATCAAACATTTATTTAGTAGCTTCTAGATCTTTGATTCCCAATTTTACTGTCCATTTACTTATAATTTCTTTCTTTCTTTCAAATTTTCCATTTTATGTATTGTGCAAAACACCTGAAACACTTGGTATAGACATATTAGTTGGTTGGAATGGATTATCATCTTGCGATGCTTCCAATGAGGGAAGGACATTTGAAACACCCTTGAAAATGAACATGTTTGATACTATTAACCAAATTGTACAAATAAGAAGAATGTCTTATTGTCGTTTTATTATCTTTCTATTGCTTTCACATTTCCTCTAAGTTCAAGTCTCTGTCTAGTTTATGTATATTTGGACAAGGAAAATCATTAGTCAAGACTCAAGAACGTGACGTGTGGCCAAAATTTTGTGAAAACCGAAAGTGTTAAGGGATTGGGTTCATCACCATAAGGAAGGGAAATTGTGATTAAAATAATACGAGAAAAATATTTTAGTTTGATACATGAATGAGGACGTTGATATCATTATTGTTTGTAGTTCTTAACGTTTGGCTAAGTATAGAGAAAAGGACCAATCTATGTTGGCAGAGTGGCAATTAAGAAATGCATGCAAACTTTGACAACAAGGAATCTAATATTTACTGTAGGAGAAAATACGAAAACAATTTGCTACTATATTACATGAAATGTTTACTTATTAGCCTCAGATAAAGTTATGCAGTCTTAGAATAAGATGGCCAAAATGGATATTGAGTGGTAGCCAAGTTTAAGTAGAGTGCTCATGTCATTTAAAGTAAAAGAGAGAAAGAGGAAGGAATAAAAGATAGAAATGGGTAGAAATAAAATATATTTATCTCCATTTTGCTTGGATGTCTTAATTCAAAAAGTAAGAAATATATTTTCCCTTATTTACTTTAGCAGTGAAAAGAATGAATAAATAAATAATCTTTTGGAGAGAGATTTTGTATATAATGGGAATTCTCATAAACAACTTTGTATATATTCAGCTACCAACAAATTGTAATTTCGTAATATCTTTTGTACAGAAAAGAAACAGATTGAATAATATCTGAAACGAAAACAACAATACAAAATACCTTGTTGAATTGCAATACAAGTCTACACATAATAGGAGAACAAGATCATAATAATATGTATACTAGCAAAATTGAAATAAGTTTCTGCTACCTATTTTACAATTCTTATTGTTCTGTTATCAGAGTCTGAAAATAAAATAAGAACAAAGGATCAAAACAAAATCCACACAAAAATTAAGCAGGAACAACACAAACACTCGAACTTTAATCATATGGATTGTAATTCAGAAGTCCCACTATTTATGTCCCCAGTTATGAACCACAAAATAAGAAAGGCATCAAGATATTTTTAACTCCAGTCAAAGGCCAATAAAAAAGCATTTAGGGATAACCTATGATAATATTTTCTAAAATGCCACTGCAATATTCGCACACAATTTTTATTTAACATGTTGAATAGTGAAAAGAATGAAAATGGCAAGAAGATGAGGTAATAGGCACTTCAGCAAGATACTTGAAGGGAAGGAAGAATTTGAGTGGAGAAGAGTGATTATGTAGCTAACAAGATTTGGTAGCTGATTGAAATGAGGAATTCATATGTATTAACAAAAGGAAAGTTAAAGTAATCAGTGATCAATAAGTAGCCATGATGTTGCAAAGAACAAAATAATTGCTGACATACAATTTGATGCCATGCATGTGCTTATAACTCCATGGATTAAACAAATAAAGTGAAAACCGAAGGATGAAAATTACAAGCATCAAAGAAACGATCATCTTGCTAACCTCATTACTGAAGCTAAACCTGAATCATTTCTAAGAATAATTCCACCCCTGTAAGTTAAATTTGGAAAAACCAATAAAAGAAGCTCATTTTGCTATGACTCCATGATGCTTCAGATATGATATTTTAGATAACTAAACATTTTTAAGACAGGATATTGAAATTTGTCTTTCAATTCTCTTTAAATTTCCAAATATAGCTTTTGACTGCCATAAACTTTTTTCAACTTATGTTAATAAATTTCATGATTAAATTATGGTATAAACTCTTTATATAACAAAAGTTATTGATTAAACGCTGCATTAAACTGTTATCCAAATACTTCCTAACTGTGGTATTGTCCAATACTTTTGTGCAATTGCAGATGAAAGTCTAATCGAAATTAAGGTGATGAGGATGGCCTCAGAAAACATCAAGAATGAAGTAGCAGTAGGCGAGAGGACTATAGTATAATACTTCAGTCAGTTATATATTTCTTTATGAAAATGAATGCTTAATTAAAACCATAATTGTCTATTGAAAAACCAAATTAGGTCGATTTAAT